AAGATGCGGTACAAAGCAATTGCTGAGGCGACGGAATCATTTGGTAACTTAACTGCAGTGATGGCATTAGGCAAAAGCCATAAAACGGTACACCACACCAGCTTGCACTATGTAAAAAGATAAGTAAACATGCCAAAAAAGGATCCCCCTGCATACCCACCTAAGTGACAACATGTGCTGTCAAGGATGGAGAGCAAATGGAACTCACACATTGCTGGTGGTAATGTAAATTGCTACAGCCGCTTTAGAAATCTGTTTTTCAATATCTGCTAAAATTAAACATATGCATATCCCATAAATCATCAATTTTACCTCTAGACATATACATAACAGTAACACATATTCACCAAAGAAAGTAAATCCAAGCATGTTCATAGCAGCTTTGTTTGTATTACAAAAACCTGGGAACAATTCCAGTATGTACAAATAGTGGAATGGGTAAATAAATCACGGTATACTGATAAAATGGAACAGTATATGGCAATGAGAACAAAGTATTGCTCACATGACAACATGGATGAATCTCACAAGCAATATTTAATATAAAAATCCAGACAGTAATAAGAGTACATAGTGTATGATCCCATTTATGTAAAGTAATAAAAAATGTTGCAAAATAGCAATTACCTTTGGGCAGAAGTAGTGACTTGGAGGGTATTACAAAGAGGTCCTAGTGGTGTTCTATTTTGTGATTTAAGTGCTGGCTATCTTGTTAAGTTGTGAATGTTCATCAGTGCATTCACTTAATATTTGGGCATGTTTTCTATTTGCAAATTATACTTCCATTAAAAATGTTTTAGGCCAGGCATGGTAGCTCATGCCTGTAATCTCAGTGCTTTGGGAGGCTGAGGCAGGAGGATTGCTTGAGGCCAGGAATTTCAGATCAGCCTGGGCAACATAGTGAGACCTCATCTTTAAAAAAAATTTTTTTTAATTTGCTGGGTGTGCTGCTGTATGCCTGTGGTCCTAGCTACTAAGGAGGCTGAGGTGGGAGGATCACTTAAGCCCAGGAGGTCAAGGCTGCAGAAAGCTATGACCACATCACTACACTTCAACCTGAGTGACAAAGCGAAACCCTATTTCAAAAAAAAAGTTTAAAAAGTTTTAAATGTATGCTTCATTTTCTTTTCTTTTTAAAATTTAGGTTTGCTTATATAGCCAATTGCTGTAAGTCTGTAACTAAAACCAAGATTACAGTAGCTCAATGCATAGAAGTTAAAGATAGATAAGCCAATTTTGTAATCTTGCCTTTTACTTTTTGTTTATTGGCTTTTACATTACTTAAAAATTGTTAAGGTGTAATAAATGCCTGTCCACGTCCATTCCTGTCTGGTCTAGAAAATTTAAATTGTCTATAAGTCTTTTGGCTGTAAGTCTCTTGGCCACAGTGGTCCTACCAAGGAACAGGATGGACCTGGGGCAGGCAGCCAAACTATGTCCACAATGCTATGGGACAAAATAAAAGTTTGGCCATTGATGTTGCCTCTGACAAATCCTGGCCAGAAGGAAAGAATGTAAACCAAAAATAAAATTCTAAGCTCCCCAACCATCTGAATGGACCCCTCCTCTTGGCCAAGGGCATTCCAAAGTTAACCTGAAAAACTAGTTCAGGACATGATGGGGAAGGGGGAGTCGGACATGCCTCATTACCATTAACATGAACACAGACCTTAAGACTGATAGAATAGACTCTTTAAGTCTACTAAGAAACATTTACATTCTCTCTGAAGCCTGCTACCTGTAGGTTTCATCTGCATGATAAAACTGTGGTCTCCACAACTCTTTATCATAAACCAGACATTCCCTTCTAATGATTCCAGGTCTTTAGATAAGAACTCAACCAATTATTAATGCCAGTCAGAAAATTTCTGAACCTGCCTATGACCCGGAAGTCCTCCAACTTCCATTGGTCCTGCTTTTCCAGATCAAACCAATGTACATCTCACATGTATCAATTGATGTCTTATATCTCCCTAAAAACCAACCTGTGGCCTGACCACCTTGGGCATGTCACCAGGATCCCCTTAGACTGTGTCACAGGCATGTCCTTAGCCTTGGCAAAATAAACTTCTAAATTGATTGAAAAAAAAATTTTAGGTTTTCTGATAAGATTGATTCCAAGTGAGAGGAGTGAGAATTATACATGAAAGCTTTTGTTCCCAATTGGACAGAAGGATGCAAGCAACTTTTGATCACCTGCTCTACCATGAACAGTGCCAGGAGCTTCATAATAACCACGAGAGGTATGTATTTTATTTCCATTTTAGAGATGAAGAAGACTCAAGAACAAGAAGAACTTTACTAGTTTAAATTACAATTATATGATTCCAGCATTTCTAGAATGAAAAACTCAGGGAATATCTGAGAGAGAAAGGTCTGTAAAGAGCATTTAATCCAGCCCCTTTATTTAACAAACTGGGAAAATCTGTCCCAGGAGGGAAAGGGACTAGTTCAAGATTACCCATCTACTCAAAGAGAAGGAACTTGAATTTCAGTCTCTTGAGTGCCACCCAGTGGACAATTTACCATGACCGATATTTACAGACAAGTTATCAAAAAACTTTACGGAATAGTGGGAAAGAGCATTCATTAAATTGGGAATTGGAAGAACTGGATCCTGTCCCGGTTTTGCCAAGTAAGGTTAGCTTCCCCTCTCTTGGTTTTAATTTCCCCACCTGTGTAATATGAAGTGACAATAGGAAAACCGACATGAGGCAGCAAGTCTTGGATCCAAGACAGACACAGATCCAGGTTTTGTGGGGCTTGAAGCTTGTAACATTTGGGGCCTTCTTTAAGTATAAGAATGCAAAATTACCAATATAAAATTGGGAACAAAAGCCAATATTTAAAATGAGAAAAAAAAAGGAACACACACATTTGAAAAAGTTGACAAATGCTAGAAACATCTGAAAATTTAGAAAAAAATACATAAATAGCTACTTATCTTTAGTACTTAACTGCCTCATGCACTTCTGTAGTATGTTATTCCTGCTTTTCTTATTTGTTATAGTTGGAAACACAGGATTCAGCATATAGTTATAATCACAACTAAGATTTATTACAGCAATGTACTTAGGGCACACAGCCAGATCACAAGCAGAAAAGACACAGGCAAAGTTTGGAGGAGCCCATGAACAGACTTCCTTATGCTTTCTCCCTCCCATGAGGGGCCACACAGAGCACATGCTTTTCTCGGCAACAAATATGCAGCGGCACGTGTGATGTTTCTGGCCAGAGAAGCCCAGACACATTGCCCACAGTTTACACTGGGGTTTGGTAACAGAGACATCCTCTGCCTAGCATGCACCAAAATTCCAGACTCCCAGAAAGAAGGCAGGTGTTCAGCATAAACTACATTGTTTGTATTAACAGTCAAGGCACAGTGAGCCACCTTATCAGTTAACTGTTGACTAGGGAAATTCTGAGAGTCAAGTTTCCAGATGCCAGCAGGGAGCGTAACTTCCAAGCAGGTCTTTCTAAGGGTAGCAGTCACAGGAACTGTGACTGTGCCCTTTCTAGCTCAGGACACATTTGATGTTGTCACTGTTTGGGAATTCAGTCCTGACCAATTTAAGAGGTTGTGTTTCTTAGCTGTCTCTGGCCCCTGGTTTGCCCAGTTTAATTCTGTGCCTGTCCAGCAAAACTCTTCTGCATACTATTCAATGTTTCTAGTCCTCCTACAGGTCCGTGTCCTACAATCACAGGAATTCTGAAAAATGCCATTTTACAAAACCCCCTTCCAAATGTGCAAATAAACGTATCTTGTATTTACAGTTGCGTACACTGTACGCTGGGTATATTCCTGACAAGAGGGCACTTTTGCTTTTCAATGAAAATGGAATCCTTCACTTACAATTTTACACACCTGATTGATGACTGGAAGATTTTTCCACAGACTAGCTTCTGGTGCTGTACACTGTGAATCTTGGTTCTCCTCCACTGCCAACATACCCCTGATGCCAAGTGCTGCAAGTCACAGTGACATTGCAATGTACCCTCCAGTCTCACCCCTCTTGTCCTAACACCGGATGCACTAGCATAGTAAGCAGAAGTATTCCTGCAAGCTATTTCAATAATAAAGGGCAGCTGGCAATAACTGGGAAATACATGAAATTGCTTGTGGACCCCTATATCTTAAACTAAATGAATCCCAACTTAATGTCCCCTTAGTTGAATTCCCAACATGACCATGGTTATTGCATTGCTACCCAACACACAGGCAAGAGGGATAAAGACAGCATAGTGGAAAGAAAGATTCCCTGAACCAACTGTGGTTAAAGTATCTTTTGTAGATTTTCCAAACCATACAACTGTAGGACCATGATGCTAGGGGCTGTATAAGCAAGAGACACTGAAGCTTTATCTTAAACTTCATTCACTTCACTGTGTACTTGCATCGGGTCTAGAAACTTACAGAAGAGAAACCATGAGAAAAGACGTAGGGCCCAGATAATGAGACAGAACGGAAGAAAGTACATAATCAGAAACAAGGACAAGGAAATTAAGACAAATTCCAGATAAACAAAGTGCAAAATTTACCTGGGAATGTGTGACGTGCATGTGACCTAGCATGGGAGAGGCAGCCTGAAGAGTTATTCTTCCTAAGCTGGGGCACAACACAAGGATCAAAACAATAGAGCTGGCTTTATTCCATGGCTGAGCCAGGAGGATGTATCATGAGATTCTGTCGATATTGAGTGGATAGGAGGAGGACTAGTTCAGAGATGTCAGGATTCTTGGACCACAGACAGAGAGAAGTTTTGCTGAGCAGGCCAGAATTAAACTGGGCAAACCAGGAGCCAGAGACAGCTAAGAATCACAACCTCTTAAACTGGTCAGGACTGAATTCCTAAACAGTCACACCATCAAAAATGTCCTGAGCTAGAAAGGGCCTTCTAGGTACCATACTCCACCATTCCACCACTATCTTGTGGGTACAGAGATCAAATCACCATAGTCAGGGTCAAAAAGACTGGTTGAGTTCTGCCTTGATCACTTACAGCACAAGCTGAGGCAAATCACTTCCCCTCTCTGAATTTCAGCATCCTCATCTCTTGAGTGAAGAGAATGATAATGTGGTCCCAGGAGCCTGTGAAGAATTCAGTGTCACATTAGGATGAGAAAAAGGACCTGGAGAGGCATTCCTGCTGACCCAGAACACAACACAAGAACCTAAAGGCAAGCACGTTATAAGCTTCAAAGCCTTGCAGGAATGTTACCTTTGCTTTACTATAGAGGAGGCACCAGCAGGAGAACTCTCTCTCAGAAGACAGATGGAGTCCTCAGAAAATGCTGATTCTCATGAACTCTTCTCTGTCCCTAATGTACAAGTAGTTTCAAGCAGGGGTCTTGTTGGTATTTTAGGGGGAAATTGATGGTACTACTTTAGGATTAATTTGATAAGACTAACGGTCATTTTATAAAGAGAAAGTCTCCCCATAAGTACTATGGCTGGGAAGGGAGAATGAAGGAGGGTACAGGGAACCTGAGCAAGTATTGAAATATCTAAATGAGAGGTAAGAAAGCAAGGGCAATTATGCTGTGATTGAAGGTGACACTTGCACCCCTATCATCTCCCCACCCACCTCTGGCCCAGATGACTTACTGGCCACATCAGTGAATCAGTGAATTCTCCTCAGGAAGAGAACCAGTTTGCCTTTTAAAAATGCTGACAGTGAAACCCAAGTGAGGACACTCACCAGCTGCACCCAGCGTGCAACCCACACTCCTTCAGTGGGCCTTTAGGAGTTGGACCCAATCTAGTTTCCCAGCCTCTTCTTCCACGACTTCACTCTACGAATGGGTCTGCTCCAGCCACCAACCTTCTCTGGGCTCCTTGAAGGTACCTAACCCCTTCAGGCTGTCCTTCCCCCATTTCCCACCTAACAAAACCCTTTCGACCTTCAAGGCCCAGCTCAAACACCCGCTCCTCTACGAAGCCTCCCCCAGCCCCTTGCCCAGAGTGAGCAGTTCCTTCCTCTTCACATTCACCTAACTCCTCTTGCCTGTAAGATGTTCCCTTACAAGTAACAAAGACATGAGTGTGCACCTACCTTCAAGGAGCCTCTTCCAGGAGGGGGCCTGGCTTCGATCTGCTTTTTGACATGATACTTTGCACTGAGATCTGCCCTCTCCTGCCAGGTTGTGCTCACACCAATATCAAGAGATCACGAGACACCCTGCCAGCAAATGCCCTGGAAGCACATCCCCTTCATGCCCCTGGCAGTTGTCTAATGCACACACAAGATGAAAGCAGCTCTCGGGTGGCCTGTTGCAGGGCACAGCACAGTTCTGCCTATGCCAAGGCAGATGCTGGGCCCTTCCCTATTGTGCTCAGCACATACCCGTTCCCCAGGGCACCTTTCCTGGGCATTAATTCATCCAGGCAGTTAATATGGATTGCACAGCCTGCTGTGTGCCAGGTACCATGTGGACCCCACCACCCAAGCCCAATGCAGGCCCCTCTAGTGGGCAACCCTTGCTCCACACCTCCCTGCTGGGCTGCTCAAGACTGTCAGGTTGGGCTCAACCTGCTCTCCAGCCCTGCTTCCTTCCTGTCCCTTTCCTGAGGGTTAGTTAGCCCCAGTAAACCTTTGGTCCTGCCAACTCCCTCTCACAGTCTGCTTCCTGGAGGACCCAATCTGAGACAGTGGGTTCCAGAGTGGTCCGAGAAAACAGGTGGTAAGATGGGGTCTTGGTACAGGATTGCCCTGCATCTCCCCAACTGGCAACGAGGTTCCCATCTTCGGGGGTAGGTGGCACGCAGGTGGCTCTAGGCACAAGATGGCAGGCTAGTTGCTAGACCTTTGATGTTAGAACTTTTGCTGGGATGGCCGGCTTGTGAAGAGGAAGTTCCTGGATGGCAAGGAGATCCAGGCAGGGCAGATGCCTGGAAATGAAAACTCAGGGAACGGTATGTTTCCTGAAGGACCCACCGGGATTAATGAGAGGCCAAGGGCAATTAACAAACATCTAAAAATTAAGCAGAAACACTGGAGTCTTCCTGGTGGTTTACAAAGTAGCCCCCGATCCAAGCAATGGGCAAGCAGCGAAGTCTGAAGAACAAACCCAGGACTTGCTAAGGTGGCTGAACTCCAAAGACAGTTGAACGCTCAGCCAAGGCAGGTCTGTCATGCCAATGACACAAGTCCTGCTGGGAAAACCTGCATCCCTGATACATGGAACAGGCACATCGAGGAGAAGGTCTCTGAATATCTGGTCTCCCTAGATGCCCTTGAAACTTCTGAGCTTGCAGCATCAGCCCAGCCCCTCCCATGAAGCACTGCAGGCACCCTACCCCGAAGGAGAAATAAATAACACAAGAATTTTCCCCACAGGTGTCCTCCCTCCCAGGAGTGGCCCTCACCTTATCACTGGCTGCCGGGTAGGGTGATCAACAGTCCCAGTTTGCTGAGGGACTTGCGGTGCTAAAAGCCAGCGAGTCCCAGGGAAGCAGGAGGAATTGGTGAGCTGACTGCCACACCCGTGACTAGAGTGAAGGTGCAGCACAGAGCTGCGCAGGCAGGGTGTGCTGGGTCTGGGAAGGGGGAAAGCGATGACACCCCTGAGGAGCTGCAGGATCAGCATGCACCTGCAGTGGCCGGGGGGGTCCCTGTGGGATGGGACCCGGATGCAGCTCAACCAGTGGGGGCCGGAAACAAAAACTACACAAGGGACTTGGAGACACTCTGCTGCTCAACACATCTGAATGCCCTGGTAGGGAGCCGAAGGGATGGGGCAAACCTGTGGATGGCATGGGATGGGCATCAGTGATGGTCCAGGCCTGAGTGACGGTGAAAGGCCCGAACTGTCATGGCAGATGGTGAAGGAAGGGATTCAAAGGCTAAGCAAAGTGAGTTTGCTGGAACTGGACAGAAGAGGTGAGGCCAGAAGACACCCTGGAGGATCATGTTTCAGGAGAGGGCCCACAGGACACATGCGTCAGCAAGGGCATCAGGAATGTGCTGCAGAGAGGGCGCCAGCATCCCTCAGGGATCCAGCGCGGGAATCCTCTGCAGGCCAGGGTTGACCAGAGCGGAGTGTCTCACAGAACGGGGCACACCGAGAACTGGAGCCTGATAAGGGCGCTGCAGCCTCCTCCTCCTCCTCATTTCCTTTCCCCCCCTCCCCGTCTTCCTCCCCTCCTAATTCTCTCTTCCTCCTCTCCACCTCCTGTCCTTCTTTCTTCCTCCTCATTTCCTCCTCTTATTCTCCTCCTCCTCCCCCCTCCTGCTCTCCTTCTCCTCCGCTCCTCATCCTCTCCTCTCTCTCTTCTCTCTTCTTCCTACTTTTCTCCTTCTCATTTCCTTCTCTCTTCCTCTGCTCCTTCTCCTCTTCTCTCTTCCACCTCCTCCAACTCTGTTCCTCCTCCTCTCCTCTCCACTCCTCCCCCACCTCCTCCTCCTTTTCCTCTGCTCCCCTTATTCTATTCCTCCTCTTCGTCCTTTCCTCCTCCTCCTCTCCTCCTGGTCCTCCTTTCTTCTGCCTCCTCCTCTCTGCTTTCTTCACTTCTCTGCCTCCTCCTTTCTTCCTCCATCTCTCCTCTTCCTCCAAATCCTGCCTCCTCCTTTCTTCCTCCATCTCTCCTCTTCCTCCAAATCGCCTCCTCTTCCTCTCCTCCTCCTCCTCTGCTCCTCCTCTCCTCTTCCTCCTACACCTCTCCTCCTTTCCTCCTCCTCCTATTTCTCTCCTTCTCCCTTCCTCCGCCCTCCCCCATCCCTCCCTCTCCTTCTCCCCTTTCTTACTCCCTCCTCTTCTCCTCCTCCTTTCTCCTTTCTGTTCTTCTTCCTCCTCCTCCCCACTCATCCCTCCTCCTCTCCTTTTCCTCCTCTTCTCATCTCCTCCTCTCTCCGCCTCCCTCTCCTCCACTTCTGCCTATCCTCTCTTTTCCTTCGGTCCTTCTCTCTTCCTACTCCTTCCCACTCCCCTCCTCCTTACTTGTTCTTCTTAATCCCTCTTCCCTCTTCTTCCTCCTTTGCTGCTCCTCCTCCTCTTTGTCTCCTCCTCTCCTTTTTCTTCTCTTTTCTGTGTCCTCCTCTCCTCCTTCACCTCCTCCCCTTCTCTTCCTTCCACCCACTCCCTCTCTTCCCCCTCCCCCTCCTCTTTTCTTCCCTTTTGCTCCCCTCCAGCTCCTATTCCTCCACTTTACCTGTCTCCTCCTGCTACACCACACGTTCATGCGACCCTGTGTGAGTCCAGGACAGAAAAGGAAAGCTAAAAGGCGGACAAATGAGTGCAAGAGAGCAAAGAAGGGAGCCCTCTCTAATCTAATGGGCAGGGTACTGGACGCATGCGAGCACCTCCTCTTTGGGGGAGGTGTCACAGCCTCCAGATGGAGGGGCAGTGGGACACTCCACGACCTCTGGGGTTACTTACAGTTTGGAGTGCTTAGGTGAATACTGAGTACAAAACAGCCCTGCAAACAGACGGAAGAATAAACCCCTGAGCAGATGTGGTCTCTGAAATACAAAAAACCAACATGGGGTTTGAGGCAGAATTCAGAAAGAGCTCCTATAACTCCATACCAACAAGGCAAGTGACTCAATAGAAAAATGAGCAAAATCCATTTCCTAGACGAGGAAGGCAGGCCAAACAAGCAGCATCTGAAGGGAAATCATGAATTAGGGTCAAAGTGGTCCCAGACTGGCCGTGCCCCAGAACACTAGGCTGGATCAAACGTGAACCCTCTCCAGAGGAGGGCAACTTCCTCCTGGGCCTCAGAGTCAAAAAAGCACAGTGAGCGGAGGTGGCTGCACTCTGGAAAGTCTCAGTGGGGAGGCAAGGGAAGAGGAAGGGGGTGACAGGCTCAGAAAACAGGAGGAGTCGCACAGAAATCACGCTGAGCAAAAAGAATGCTTCCCTAGGGGAGCATGTGGGCGGAAGAGAGGGACTCTTCTCCTCCTCTCGTCCTCTCCTCTTCCTCCTAAACCTCTCAACCAGGGATGCTGAGCACAGAGAGGGAAAGTGACGGCAAATTCCCAGGGGACAGCTCTAGCCAGGGAGGCTAGCCTGCCATGGAGGGAGAAGTGAGGGAGAGGCGAGGGAGAGGTAAGGGAGAGGGAGGGGAGGGGAGAGGGAGGGGAGGGGAGAGGGAGGGGAGGGGAGGGGAGGGGAGGGGAAGGGAAAGGAAGGGAGGGGAAGGGAAGGGAAGGGAGGGGAAGGGAGGGGAAGGGAGGGGAGGGGAGGGGAAGGGAGGGGAGGTAAGGCTCAGAAGGCCACTGGGATGGACAGGGAGCTCTGCAGGGGGCTCCCCAGGGATTAGGATGGAAGGAAGACCTGAGTGGGGCTGTGGTTTCAGGAAGGAGGCAGTATCCTGGCGGAGACGGGCAGCGGGTACAGTCAGCTGCAAAGCAGGATCTTTGGAAAAGACAAGGACTTCCTAAAAGAGACACAACGTGTGGCACAATGGGCATGCAAGCAAGGCCTGAAGAAGAAAGCAGACCTTGAGGAGACACACCCCCAGCCCCAGGAGTTGGGGTCAGTTGAGTGTGTGCTAGTGGGGTGCAGCCAAGCAGAGCGGTTTCATGGGAGCACAGCAGAGAACCCGAGAAGGCCCCGCACGCACGCTCACAGTTGGCTATTGCCTGGGGCTCCAGAGCATCCACGGCGGGCCCCACAGGGGAAGGCAGCAGCAGGACGGGCCTGGGGAGGTGAAGGCCGACCTGATCTGCTAAGAGACAAGCAGAGAGGGAGGGGAAAGTCTTGTTCCTGCCAGGACATTGTTAATGGGAGGAATGAGGAGGCAGCAGGTGAAGAGAGTATGGCGTGGAGGGCAGAAGTCAGAGCGTTTTCGGGTCTGGTGCTGACCTGCTATTGGGAATGAAAATGAAGACTCAGGTGCATTCTGGTCCCTTTCTCAGGGATAGCTGCACACCCACATCCCTGCCTGGCCTGGTGATGCCATTCTTCCTAGGCCCACTCACTGCTGCAGCTGCTTTACTTGGACTTCCTCTCCTCATCCCACCACAGAAGAGACCTCTGTGGGAGGTCTCAGGGAGAGCGTGCACCCACGTGCGCATTGTACCCCACTGCCCAGCACACCCAGGAGTGAGAGTGAGGGGCAGCTGGGAGAGTTGGAAAAGGGAGCCCTTATGTGGCCACCACGGGCTTTCCCGCTAGCAGCCACACGGTGACTATCCAGCTCATGATGCAAGTTCTAGTTCTTCATACAAGAGGCTACAGGCGGAGCAACAGCAACCCACCATTCCGGGGATCCTCACTCATGATTTGAAACCACTCCCAGCAGCTTCTGGGGTGTTTGGCAGAAGCTGGCAACCATTCTTGGGGGGAAGGAACCCAGGAGGGGATGCTAGCATGCATAGGAATTGCAACTGGGGATCTGGAGGTCCCCTGCAGCCCTACGGCCTACATCCCATGCAGAGGGACCCTCTCCTCCTCACCTCATCTTCAGTATTCCTGCTTCCTCGAGCTTCTCCAGGGAGAAGTAGGTGCATCTCACTAGAAAAAACAAGAAAGCAGCCCTTTGCTGATTAAACACTTACTAAGCAGATACTGTGCCCTGGGCACCCAGTTTCAGAAATGAGTAAAACACCAGCGGTTCCTTCAAGGAACTCAAGAGACCCTGCGGCAGCCAGACTCTTACAGAGCAATTACCACCTGGAGTTGCAACAGCCTAATGTGGGGTGGGAATGGGGGATGTACAAAATGCTATCAGAGCTGGAGACAAAAGCCCCTAATACTTGGGGTGGGGATGTGAAGGTGACATTAAAGTTGTGCCTTGAAGGAGGCCAGGAGTGCACCAGGACAAGGCCATGGGAACTAACGGTGCAAAGCAAGGAGACCTGGAACAGCAGGCTGGTGGGGACCAGTGACTAAACAGCACAGCGTGAACCCAAAGAGTGTTCGGCTTAAGGGTGGGGAGAGCTGAGCTGACTCCTTGAACTGTTAGGGCTTAAACCTGAGAAGGCCCGGCCGCGTTTTCACTAGATTGTTGGGGACAGATCTGTGACTTAGAAACTGAGCCAATGGAATGTGGAGGACAGACCTGAGGGAGGAAAGACAGAGGCTTCCAGGTTGGTCAGGAGGCTCATGGAACAGTGCAGGCTCCAGACCACGAGCCCTGAGTTCTGGAAGTAGCAGCAGGGATGCAGGACGAGGAGCAGTTTTGTCTCATCAGGCACTCCAGAGGCAGGGACTCAAAACTTGCTTGTGAAGTCAATGCGGGAGACTAGATAAGGGGAGGGACAGAGGAGTAAAGCATGGCAGCACTACAGAACCTGAGCCCCTGACTGAGATGGAGAAGAGAGTTTGAAAAGCAAGTTTGCCAGGGAAGTTGGGCTGTGTGTGGGACGACTTAGGTCGGAGGAGGCAAGACATTAAGAGTGTGGATGTTTCTCATCACTTGCAAAAGAGGCGTCAAAAAGAAGGTCCCTCTGGACCCCACTGGCAGGCACTGACAGCGACTAGGACACAGGAAAGCAGGCCTGGGGGCGCTCAGCCCTGCAAGACTTAGCCTAGAGCTGCATGGAACCCAGGCAAGTGTTCCCGCCCTTCTTGCTGCTTCCATGCCCTCTGGGGGTAGACACTGGAGGTGCCGTTAGGTCGCCGCACGCAAGTTTGGACTCTTGCCTAAGGGTGCATCACAGAAGGGCCTCAGCTCCATCCTCATTTCGGCTCTGCTCCACCAGCATCTCCACCCCGTTTTTCCTCTTGAAACTCCGACCCCAACTTCTCTTGTTGCAGCTTCGTTCAAGCTGCTCCCACAGTTCCACCCCACCCTGTTCTGCTCCCCTGCTCCTCCTCCCTCAGCTCCGCCCCAGCTGTTCCTCCCACACTTCCGCCCCAGTTGTCCCGCCCCAGCCCCTCCCCCACCCAGCACTTAACTAGTTCCACCCGCAGCTCTTTCCCACAACTACGCCCTCCTCTTGCATGCTGCTCCCCAAGCAGCTCTGGCCCAGTTCCCGCTGCAGCCACAGCCCCAGCTTCTTACCCCCACCTCCTCCTCCCACAGCTCTTTCCCACAGCCCCGCCCTGCTCCCCTTTCATCACCGCTCCCACCTCCGCCTCCTCTAGTCCCGTCACGCTTCTCCTACCCCTCTGCCCACTCCAGCACCTTTCAGCTTTCCTCCAGCTCTGCACTAGCACCTCCCACGCCATTCTCACATGCCAGCCTTACTTCAGCTTGGCTCCTCCTCCTCCAGCTCTTTCCCGCAGCCCCGCCCCATCTGCTCCCACAGCGCTTTGCCACAACCCCGCCCTTCTCCTCCTCTGGGACCGCCCGGCTTTCCCTCAGCTCCACCCTGCAGCTTAGCTGTGCACCAGGCCCTCCCACAGAGCTTTTTCGTGATTCCACCCTACACCTCCCCAAGCCCCCGCTCCCCCAAGGTGGTTCTCAGGAGTCCGCGGGGTCCTCCTGCAGCTGCTCCTTGCTCAGTTCTCCCACTGCCCCTTCTCACGCCACTGATTCCAAATCCCGGGCCCCAGACCCTCCCCAGTGGTTTCTCTCAGCCCCGCCCCTCCCGCATCTGCTTCCAAGGCCCCGCCCCCAGCCCCTCCTCAGCGGTCTCTCAACCCCGCCCCTTCCCAGCCCCGCCCTACTTCTCCAGCACCTCCCTGCGGAGCCCCGCCCCCAGCCCCTCCCCAATGGTTTCTCAGCCCCGTCATGCCCCGAACCCCGCCCTGCTTCTCCCGCGGCTGCTTCTGAAGCCCCGCCCCGCCCAGAGCCCCGCCTCTCCCCAGCTCCTCCTCGCTTCTCCTGTTGCTGCTTCCAAAGCACCGCCCCTAGCCCCATCCCAGGGGTTTATCTCGGCCCCATCCCCAGCCCCACTTCGCCATCGTCTGCTTCCAAAGCCCCGCCCCCAGCCCGTCCCCAGAGGTTTCCCTCCGCCCCGCCCCTCCCCGAGCCCCTCCCCACCCCTCCCCGAGCTCCGCCGCACCCCTCCCCGAGCCCCGCCCTTCTTCTCCTGCTCCAGCTTCAAAGCCCTGCCTCCAGCCCCTCCTAGTAGTTTCTTTCAGCCCCACCTTTGTCCTCTCATCAGCCCCCTCCGTCCCCGCGCTCGTTATCAGGAGTCCACGAGCTCCTTCTACAACCTCTCATCGCTCAGATCGCCCACAACCCGCCTCCAGTGGTTTACCTCAGCCCCGCCCGCCCCCCTCTAATCCCCGCCCCACTCTCAACCACGCCCCAGCGGCTTTTCCCACTCCCACCCTTCCCCTCCCCCAGCTCCGCCTTCCTCGTCTCAGCCCCGCGCCCCAGCCCCTGCCCAATGGTTTCTCCCAGCTCCTCCCTGCTGGTCTCGCAGCTCTGGGCTTAAAACTCCTGCCTGGTGGCCTGGTCCTGCCCCTCCTCTTCCTCTTCCTCCCTCGGGTTCCTTTTCCTCCTTCCGGTTCTTGGTCCAGGCTGCCGGTTTCGAGCTCCCCTGGCCTTGGCCTGGTTGGCTGGCGCGCGTCACGATCCGGTAAACTGAACAGCGTCTCCTGGCGGCCAGTGCGTGCGTACGTGCGTGATGACGTCAGCGCGTGGCTTCGTGATACGTGGATTCCTAACGACTTGGCGGTCTATAGGCGTGGTGAGTACGTGCCTCCTGCGTACGTGCGTGGTGTACGTACTTGCGTGATTACGTGCACACGTACGTTCTTTGCGGAAAGGATTACGGGAGCTGATTGAAAGCGGAAGAGTTATGGACCGTTAGCACCTGTCACTGGCGCCCGGTTTCCCGGAGTTAGCGGCAGCTACCTTGCAGCCCTGACGCGAGCCGGCTGCTCTCTCTTCTCACCGCGGCCACGTCTCCTCGCTGGCTCCGGTGGCCTCGCTGGGTCGTGAGGAGGCGGAGGACTGTTCTTCCCTGTGGTCAAAAGCCGGAGTCGACCCTGTACGCCCACGACTCTCAGGGTCCGGAGGCCGTGAGACCAGCCGCCGCTGAAAGGTACCAGGTCCCGTGGTGCCGGAGCCTGTGTGCTCAGCCCTCTTGCGGGCGGTGCCTGAGGGCTGGGGTTTCCCCTGGGTTTGGGGCAGGGAACCCGTGCGGGGCGCGCCCAAGGCACCCTTTCGTGTCCCCTGCTCTCGCCAGCGTCTCGGCCCTCCTCCTTCTAAGCGCGTGTACCTGCGACGAGCGTCTGCAAGTGCTGCTCCACACACAGCGACCCCACCTCGGCCCGGACTTCCCTGCCTCCCGCTTGGCCCCTGTGCTGTAAGTTCGCCTGGAACCGAGGCCGGGCAATGCACAGCTCTGTGGCCTGTGGCCCCGTGCTCAGCATGACCTACCCAGAATTAAACAGTGGACAATGGGATTTAGGCCCCCCAAAGCCTCGCCCGATGACAATGGGAGGGGAAGTGGCATTTTTCTCCCCTCGGATGGAGCGTGCTCAGCTATAGGAATGTGACTCAACTTGCTGAAATGATTTTCTCCCCTGCGGGCTGGTGCACCCTGTGACCCAGACAGATGCGGAGGGTCCCACTGCTGTGATTAGCAGAACCAAATCGTGAGTGAGATGCACATGTGTGTTACTCTTAGGACCAGCTCTCTCAGCTCTTCTTGGTTTCTAATGCCTGCTGAGTAGAAGACCTTCCTAGGGCCATTAACCAGCTTTGCTGTCTTGCACTTAATGACCTTTCCTCTTTATCTTCCTTGTTGTGCAGGTAAAGAAGCTAAGTGAAGAGTGTTTTCTCCTTTGGCTGCAAAGCAGGTACTCTCTGCAGCACCAGGTAGGAGGGGACTCCTCCTTCTTGCCTTTTCAGTTACATCAGTTCCTACTGGGGATTCCACACACACACAGTTTGCATTTGTTCCGATTTTGTGGTGATGATGAGAAAAGGGTTGGCTAAGAAACTGGGCGGCAGAAAAGAGGCATTTACTGTAGCCATGTATCCCGATGGAAGTGGCCAGGCCTTGTGGGGGACATTCAGCCTGTCAGAAGTAATCCAGAACTTAGGGACCTGGTGATGTTTTGTCACCCATCAGGAGAATAATGATGCTCAGGGGCCACAAGTGTATGAGGAAATGGCACCATGGATGGGTTGGTGGAGGATACACAGGTGAGTCTTTGTGGAAAGTCATTTGCTGGCAGATATCAGCATCTAAGATGGGCATGCCAGGCGGCCGAGGCATTCCCTTCAGCATGTCTTCACACAGCAAGTGTTAGAGGTAATGTCATTTCTAGTGGCAAAAGTGGGGAACAGCTTGTAAGTCTCCATCAGTAGAGGAATGGTCAGGCAAATTATGAGACGGCCAACAATGGGATACACACAGGCAGTGAAAAACAAGGTAGATGAAGATTGTCAGGTGGAAAGAATGGACTTGATGTGCTGTCAAATGGGAAACTCATGCCCTATCCTGTGGAGATGTGTTGGGAACAGCAGTTTGCCAAGATGGCTGAAGCAAAGGACCATAAAGGGGCTGGCTTAAACAACAGACAATCATTGTTCTAGAGGATGGAAGTCTGAAATCAAAGTGTTGGCCAGATTTGTTTGTTCTGTGGGCTGTGAAAGACAATCTGGTCTGTCCGTATCTCTTAGCTGCAGGCGGCTAGCCGGCAATCTTTGGCACTCATTGGCTTGTAGAAGCATCTCCCTTATCTCTGCCTTCATCTTCTCATGGTGTTCTCCCTGTGTGCATGACTGTCTCTGAAATCCCCTTTTTCATAAGGACGCCAACTACATTTGGATGTGGGTCCACCCTAATGGCTTCAGTCTCACTTGATTGCCTCTGTAATGACTCTGTCTTTATATATAAGGCCACATTTTGAGGTGCTGGGGTTTAGGACTTCAACATACGCATTAAGAGGACACAATGCAACCCATCAGAACTGACAAAGGACCTGAGGTAGAAACAAGCTTGGCATGTTCCCTCAGGGGATGGAAGGCCCCTGTGGCTCTAGGGTGGTGAATGAAGGGGAGAGGAGAGGACATGGCTGGGGTGGGAAGGCAGATCAGGAGGGACCTTGAGTGCCCTGAGAGGAAGTATGGATTCTGTTCTAGTTGGGGCAGGGAGCCCTTGAAAGCTTTCAGTAGAGGAGTGACATAATCTCATTGTCCCTGTACCAAGATCATTCTGATGGCAGTGTGGTCACAAGAGTGCAGAGGACAAGGGCTGAGACAGGAGTGGGGGTGCTATCAGGAGACTTCTTCAGAAGGCAGGGGATTTTAGGGGATTGGATTGGAATTGTGGCCGTAGAGATTATGGAAAGAGATCAGATTCAGTGTCGGTTTTGGACACAGTGCCACGGGATGTGGGCCGCAGAGAGGGAGGGCAGAGAGCAGCTAGGTCTGGGGCAGGAACACTGCGTAGCTGCTGATGCCACTCACAGTGGAAGGGAGGTGGACTTGGTGGTGGTGGTTGGGGTCCTGAGTATGTACAGGCCTGTCCACCTAAGGCTGAGTCTGAAGGGGCGTGGCCCTGCACCACGGGATTCAGAGCAGGCTGGTGAGCAATGTGGGGGTCCCGGAAGGAGGGAAGGAGTGTGCTCAGCCCTGCTGGGGCTGCCGAGCATGGAATAAGATGAAGATAGGACTGGCATGAGGCCGGCCATGGGTGCTTGTGGGGATAGGTCAGTTAGTGGAGTGGGTGGGGGGGTGGAGAATAAAGAGAGAAAGGTGGGGGTGGGGGCAGAAGGTTCAGAGAGGAAGTAGAGACTGTGCATGTAGACAGCTTTTCTGAGGTCTCGGCTGTTCAGGGTTTAAGAGAAGGGAGGCAGAGCAGGAGGCGTGCATGTGCTCAGAGTAGGGATGCTGAGCGAGCATAGATGGTGGCCGGTGGCACCCAGGGCCCGGAGTGAGCCAGAGGAGCAGGGTCTAGAGCACAGCAGGCAACCGGCTTGGCTGGGGCAGCTCACCCCAGAGGTGGGAGAAGAGCAGGAGATCTGGCACTCAGAAGGCTGCACTGCGGATTGGGAAAGGAGTGAATACCAGGCAGCTTTGGTCCTGTCAGGGCTTTGTCTCATGAGGGTGGGTGTATTTTCTTAAAATCATAGAATGTATTAGATGTCGAGTTTATGTCCCGAAAGGAAGGACAGAGACATAGTAACCAGAATGGAGGGGGGCAGCTCAAGGGTGGAGTTCAGGGCCATGGGACGGAGCCACAGGCCTGATGATGATGACGACGGTGAGGGGAGCCACTATTTGTGAGGGTTCTCTTAGGTGCCAAGTACTGGGCTGGGTGCTCTTGGTGCCTTATCTCCCATCCTCACAGCCATGTGGAAACTGAGGCATCTCAAGAGTCTATGACTGGGCTGAAGTTCTGGCTTCAAGCCCAGGGCTCCTGCCGAGGCACAGGGCTGTCCTCCATGCAGGAGGAGGGGACCCTCTCCCAAGCCACACATGCAGGAGGCCAGGCAAGAGTTGTGGGAAGTCAGAGCCCGTGTGACCGTGGGCTGGGCTGGTGCCTCATTCTCCTCAGCCATAGAGTAGGCCTCCCAGTACCAGTGACCCTGCTGGGTCACTTGAAGATTCAATCTGATGATCCAAGGATCATGCCATCCCAGTGGCTGGCACGTGGAAAGCATGTGTGTGGGGGTGCCAGTTGTTCTGATTATCATTCTTCTTTTCTCCGCTCAGATTGGGACAGGGGCATCTGCTGACAGTGGAGAGCAGTGGTGGGGGAAGGGGCTTGAGGAAGGTGGTACCCAGAGGGGTGGAGAGGAGATAGATGACTGAGGGCCATCTGAGGTCACAGTGCATCCTGAGAGCAGAGCTGAGATTGGATATCAACGATGTGGGCTCAGCAGCCCTGGAGTAGGAGCTGGGAAGGTCAGTGCCTTGGTGGCGGCAGGGCCAGGGCACTGAGAGTATTGGCAGAGCACAGCAGGGGGAAAGGAAGAGAAGCAGAGCCTGGGACTGTCCCTCTGTGCTGGAAGACAGCTAACACCAGCCCTGACTCTCCACTCTGGCTAGGCCGAGGGGGCCCTCTGTCCTCTGTGTTGCCCTAGGGCTCGGTGACCTTTGTCATAGCATTAACCACATGCTATCCTGCCTGTGCCTTCCTCTAGCTGTCTCCGCCCTACTCCAGACTGCCCCAAAGACTCTGTGGGATGAGCCTGAGTCAGCCGAATCCCAGCCCCTTCCCTTGGGCCTGCTGTGGCGCGGGACATCAGTGACAGGCGGAAGCAGCAGACCATCAGGTTCAGTGGGATTTAGGCCACCTGAGAGACACAGGGGTATGATCAGGCCACTGCCCGTGAGCTTGGAGGGCTGGCATGTGACACGCTTCTGTGCTTCTGCAGGCCACAGGAGGCCCGGGGCGCTTGCGAAGATGAAGTTTGGCTGCCTCTCCTTCCGGCAGCCTTATGCTGGCCTTGTCTTAAATGGAGTCAAGACTGTGGAGACGCGCTGGCGTCCCCTGCTGAGCAGCCAGCGGAACCGTACCATCGCCGTCCACATTGCTCACAGGGACTGGGATGACGACACCTGGCAGGAGCTGCTGGTGGAGAGGCTGGGGATGACTCCTGCCCAGATTCAGGCTTTGCTCAGGAAAGGGGAGAAGTTTGGTCGAGGAGTGATAGCGGGTAAGTGACGATGTGCCAAATGTGCAGACAACGCCTAGAGTTGCCACCCAAGATCTTGCTTGGGAGTTTGGGGACTTTTGTTGTTGTCTGAACTGATTGGCATGTATACCACAGTTTCCTTTGGCAGCACACCTTCAAAGGGACAGCAAGGGCCCTGGGCTGGGGGTTGGCAGGCCTAGCTTCCGTGAGCTCTGGTAAATCATTTCTCCACTCTGGGCCTCAGTTCCTGTTTCTGATCTCAGTGAGAAGCCAGATCAGGTCCATGTACACGTGGTGCTTATGGTGTTTGTGTGTGTATGTGTGTGTGCGCATACATGTGTGAGTGCACATGTGTGGCAGAGACCATGAAAGCAGCCCAGCCCACCGAATGGGTCAGGTGGCCTCTAGAGTTGGGCTGCCTGCCTGGCTTCACGAGCCTGCCCCAGCCCCACCACTCACGGCACCCTGGGCAAGTCCCCTAACCTCTAGGTGACTGAGGCCTGACGACAGCATCTGTCCCCTGGTGACCTGCTTAGGCATCACCTGTAGCTTCCCAGGCAGTGGCTGGTGCCCTTCCAATCTGCAACCGCTGCCCTCGGAAGTCTGGCTTGGACCTGCCTCTTACTTGTGTGGCTTCATCGAGGACAAGGCCCTCTCCTCTGCCTTTCTGGAGCCCTCCCCCGCCTCTCCCAGCATTTCCTGAATCGGGTTTGGCTCGTTATCAAAGCAGTGGAAGAAGGACTTGACTCCCTTTTTGTCATTTTGCTGATGCCACCTTACTCTCTGATTGTGACTTTGAGTAACCGTGTTGTCACATGGGCAGGCCTTGGGCTATGGAAGTGAAAGGCATTCATATGTATCTCTCTTTGTGTACAGGACTCATTGACATTGGGGAAACTTTGCAATGCCCCGAAGACTTAACTCCCGATGAGGTTGTGGAACTAGAGAATCAAGCTGTACTGACCAACCTGAAGCAGAAGTACCTGACTGTGATTTCAAACCCCAGGTGGTTACTGGAGCCCATACCTAGGAAAGGAGGCAAAGATGTATTCCAGGTAGACATCCCAGAGCACCTGATCCCTTCGGGGCATGAAGTGTGACAAGTGTGGGCTCCTGAGAGGAATGTTCCAGAGAAACCAGCTAAATCATGACACCTTCAATTCGCCATCATGACGCAGACCTATATACATTAGGTTAAATCTGAATTTCCGCTGCTTTGGAGAGTCCCACCCACTAAGCACTGTGCATGTAAACAGGTTTCTTTTCTCAGATGAAGGAAGTAGGGGGAGGGGCTTTCCTTGTGTGATGCCTCCTTAGACACACAGGCAATGTCTCAAGTACTTTGACCTTTGGGTAGAAGGAAAAGCTGCCAGTAAATGTCTCAGCATTGTTGCTAATTTTGGTCCTGCTAGTTTCTGGATTGTACAAATAAATGTGTTGTAGATGACGGGTTAGTGTTTGAGGCTCAGTTCTATTGAGACATCCAGGTGGGAGAGGTTCCCCAGAGAAACTCCAACCAGCCTACACACTGGGAGGAATGTGCACTGGGGTGGAGCCACAGAAGTTCACTCCGCTTGCATTGGGGAGGAGCCTGGCCCCTCCTCTTCCTGAATGGAATCTTGGATTCAATCTGTGAGGCAGGCAGTACACTAGCAGGGACCCTGGCTCTGTGGAGGGTCCCTGTTTCCCCTTTTTTCCTTTTTACTCAATAAAACCCTGCCTCACCCTTCAAATCGTCTGTGAGCCTAAATTTTTGTGGCCGTGTGATAAGGACCCCATCTTTAGGTGAACTAAGGAAAAGTCCTGCAACATGTTTGGTGTGCAACGTTGATGCTCAAAACCTCTCACTGTTGTGCATCTAAGCATTTTCATCCTCAGATTTCTGAGCTTGCAGGAAACCATGCCTCCACTCCTGTTTCTCCCAGGCATTGGAAAGGTTGGTCTTGGTCTTCATGGCCTTTTCCTTTTTGGAGGGGGATGGACCAGCTAGCAGTGGCTCCCCACCACCCTCTCCTGCCTGCCAGGGCCGGGACGCATGGCTCAAGGCTCCCTGGGTGGCTGACTGGCAGTCCATGTCACGCGCTGCTGGAGCCTTCTTCCCAAACCAAGGGGTTTAACTCTGTTGGACAGTAATTAAGCTTTTCTCCTGGTGGAGGAACCGGTTGCATAAGAATAAGAGGTTCTTCCCGGCATTTTTAAGCTTTTTTTTTTCCTCTTCTCCACCCTATGAGCAGTTAGCTTTTAGAGGTCCGCCCTGCTACCTTTAGAAGATGTTTTACTAGGCTAGAAATAAGGATCCCTGTTTATATTATCTGTAAAGCTTTAATTGTGAAAAAGGATGTGTTAAATTGTAGACAGTCTGCTGTACTTTGCTTGCCTTTATGGTTTGTAGCAAACTTCCTTGCAACCCTCAGTCGTCTTCTCTTGTTTTACATCCTGGGGGGGCATGGCTTTGTTTAGCAACCCTGCCTTAGGGAATGAGTTCCTTTCTTTTTTGATATCTGCATGTTTTCCTAGCCCTGTCTCTTAACCCCACCCAGGGGCTGGGTTTTCTCCTGCCTGTCTGTGTAGGTGTGTGTGTATGTGTGTGTGTGTGTGTGAGATATCTGTAAAAAGAGGTCTAATTTGGCCTAAAGAAAGACAAGTGCTTGAATCAAATATTTTTTATAGGGAAGATAAAAGCTGTGGTACCTTTAAGTTCACATGTTTTTAATGTTTGAGAAATAAAAATAGCCTTTAAGATTATTGGTAAAATGCAGGTGTTATTAAAATGTAAATAGGCGAACTAAATTATGCGGGTCAGATGCAAGATTTGCTAGATGTTTTAAGGTTATAAACTACTTTTTTTGTTTTGAGAACTGTCTGTCTTGCCTGCTTCACAATTGGTAGGGCCTGGAGATGTTTGGAACTAACCACACCCTGAATTAAGAAGGAAACCTTGGCGGCACTTAGCGCACAATTAAAACAAAAGTTTTACATTAGAGTTAAAAATGGCTAGGAGTTACCATTTTAACATGTAACTGAAACTACTGAAAAATAGATGTACATGGAAGATGTGTGAGAATAGTAAAATGTATTTTTTAGTAAAAGGTTATAAGAAAGCTTGGAAATGTAAATGTTTGCCTAGGGTTAAAGGATTGTTTTAAATTAGGTAAGATAAAGCTGAAGGTTCAAACAAGTGGAGGAAATGCTATGGAAATTAATCTTGCAGAAGAGGTTCTCTATGTGAACAAATTGGCTAAATTCCAGAAAGGTATTACATTATATTCCTACCTCATAGGTTTTTCTGTAAATTGATCATTGAAATAAAAACATTGAAATAAAAACACAACAAGGTTTTCTTAAGGTGCTAATTTGCTCTTTGGCAAAATTTGTAAAGGATTTTAAAAGGTTTTTGCTTTAAAATTTCTGAGTCATCATTTTGGCAACATAAATAACATGGTAATCTGGAATTCTATTTCATAACATCAAGTACTTTAAACATATTTAACAACCTTTCCAAAATCAAACTTCAATTTCAGAATTGTCTTTCCTGACACTTGGCTTTTCGGATACTTCAGAGTGCCCCTGAAACATCCAGAAAAGAGGTCAACAGGATTATTTGACATGTTTAGTTAGGTACGTGGGATTGCCAAAATGATGTTCAGTCTTCTTTAGGTTATATTTTTATGAGTAATGCTAATGTATGTTCCAAGTGTATATGGGATTTCTAAAATTATAATGTCTAAGTATATACTGTCAATCATAATTAAGGTTGTTATGTTATTGTAAACCACAGAGATAACCAAACTTCTTTGTCAGTTACGTTTCTGACTGTAATTATCCTGGACATTTTGCTATTCACAGACAATTGTTGTCTTGTTTTAATCCTTTTCAAAAGATGGCTTATAATAAGCTATAGGACTTTGACAGGTGCTCTCAAATACAGGCTTCTGTCTGATAACTTTGGAGATTGTGACATTGGAATAAAGAAAAATGTACAGGACTCAAAAACTGCTGAAGTGTTCATGAACTGAAGCAAAACAAGAACTAAATGGACTGAACTCAGAAAGCTGAAGCAACCTTTTTGACTTTTGCTTGGAATATTGTTGATCCTTGTTTTGCTTTTCAGAGTCAAAGAAACTTACTTTGAACTATTTACAGCATTTAATAATTAAGCAAGGTATACTCTGGTGAGCAAAATTTGGAGCATGTTTGTTTCTCTGTATCTGGTTCCTGTAGAATTTGGAAACTCTGTGAATATTGTTAACGTATGGCAATATAGTTGTTTGCATCAGTGCAATAAGAATCCATTTTTCTTTTGCAACAGGATGCAATTGGAAAAACTGATAATTTTACCAAGGCTTTGACTGGAAGGGTATGCTTCACTTTAAGGAGTCAATTTCGACTTGCAAAGCCAATAAGAGCCGATTGGGGAAACTGGCCTCATACCCTGGCCTGCGCAGTCCCTGTACAGGATTCCTGACCTGTGGTCAGTAAAGAATGTCACTTTCTAACAGCTCCAGGAGCTCCAAGTTTATCTTGGGACTGTAAGAGGAGAGGATCACCCAACTCGCTGGTATTTGAGGATATAAACCCATGGCTGGGCTCAGCTTTAAAAGGTCTTATCTAAGATTCCTTGTAGAACAGAGTTCTGTCAAAACCAATCCAAAAGGCCTATGTAGAAATACTTATTCTTGCTATACTTTATGCAGATAATCAGGCCAAATATAAGACTGAAGTCTATTTTGCAAACCACTGAGTCCTATGATTTGTTTTTTTTAACAAAAAGTGAGGACTGAAGATAGAGAAATTATGTTTTAAAACGTATATGTCATTAAATCCTAAAGTCAGTTGTTTTTAGGTGTTCACCTACACTTTAGACTAAATCTGTTTTTTCCTGTAAACCAACCAGCAATCTCTGGCTGCAGCTCAGAAAGAACAAAAGGGACAGATAATGCAAAACTCTGGATCAATATCCTAGTTCTGAGGAGGTATCCTGCAAATCCTGCCAGAGGATGGAATAAATAGGATGCCCATCTCTCAGAGGTCGCCTTTTGGGAAAGTAAGACCAGGGGAGCTAACAAAAGCAAGCACCATGCACCCAAACCCTACAGGCATAACTGCAACTACCAGTTGTCTGGGTATCACAGGACATCCATTTCTCTCCCTCGGAGGAGGACTCAGTTCCACAGCTTCACCTTAGCATTCGGCTTATAATAAGGAGTTCATGCAGTCCCCGCTGAGACACATTTTTGTCCCAAACCCAATTCCAAGCTTCGGGTCAAAGCCCTAGGAAGGAAAACTGGATCTGAGGAATCCAGAGGCAGATGATAATGGAATTTAAAAGGCACAGCACAGGTGAGCGTGGCTGATTCCTGCCAATTAAGCCAAGCTTCAAAGGCCATGTTAGCATCCATGGCATAAATGAGGTCTAAGGAATCCAAGGTTTCTGACATCAGGGTGTACGTGGGTAAGAGTAGATGATTCCTATCCAGTAGGCGCCCTTGCTTCATGGGTGCAAGCCACCTTGGCACCCATGCAGCACCTGCCAAGGTTCCCAGGACTCTGGGAGGCAAAGATGGAAGAGGGAAAGAGAACACTCTTCCCTCTCTCCCTCATGTACACTGGGTATCTGCTAGGAAAAAAAGGGAACCAAGGACGCCTGCTCCCCTCTTTCTAGATGATTAGCCATTGATCTGCAGTCTGTACCCCTTTCGAATGTATCCTGAACTCCTGGAACTCCTTTGAAAAACACCTTTTTCCCTTTCTCCTCCTCTGTTCTCTGTTCACAGATAGGTAATTGTGTCTCCATACTGTGGGACACTCCCCTTGGATACATCCTTCAAACTGGAAAGAGTTAATTTCCTGAACCTTTAACTGGTTGGCTCAGGATTGGACTCAGGGGAAGGGAACCCAGAAGCCCAACATGTTGGCAAAAGGGTAAAGTATTTCTTCCCAGTCAAGCTTTTGGCCTCCCTCTCCCTGTGCAAACTGGTAAAAGGCCTCAGGATTTTTTAGCTGTCCTTAACACTCCCCTTGTTTCATTTTGATACATGTTTTCTAAAAACATGGTTTGTCTCTGCTTGCCTTCAGGCCATCAGACTCCAAACGGTCATGCAACTGGAGTCCCTGACGATGGCCCCTTCTGCTGGGAATGTTTAGATTGGCTTCTGAAGGAGCTCTGACTGCCATTTTTCCAAAACGGGGGTCCCTTTCAGCAGGAAGCAGTTAAGATCAGACCTTGTCCTTATTCTAATGGAAGCTAGATGGACTTTTTTAGAGGGAAGAATGAGACAGCCAGGTGGGAGGGGGTCCCCAGAGAGACTCCAACCAGCCTGTGCACTGGTAGGAGTACATACTGGGGTGGAGCCACAGAAGTTCACTCCATTTGCCGTGGGGAGGAGCCAGGCTCCTCCTGGGTAGAACCTGGGATTCAATCTAGGAGGCGGGAAGCATACCAGCAAGAACTCTGGCTTTGGTGAGGGTCCTTGTCCCCCCTTTTTTTTCCTTTTGACAGATAAAACCCTGCCTTACCCACCCTTCAAATCATCTGTGAGCCTAAATTTTTGTGGCCATGTGATAAGGACCCCATCTTTAGCTGCACTAAGGAAAAGTCCTACAACACTGTGTTTTCCCCTGTATTTGTTCTGGTCAGAAGTCATCAAATGTGTGACTAACATCCAGGAAACATGGAAAGTGTGGGACCTGATAGTGAGCAGCCATTAATGGACTAACTCATCCAGGATGAAGAGGGCCTCAGACTTAGAGCAGCTGTCTGTCCTTTCAGGTTACTCTCACTGTGTTGTGAAAGTGTCTGTTGGTTTCTGAAGCATGTGTGTTACCTGCATCACATAGCTACTTCCTATCCTAGCAATACATCCAAAATACAGCTCTGGTAGAGTGAGGTTGACTTTGAAAACTGATTAGTGTTGTTTTATTTTTAGTAATTTTTTTCAGTAATTTCTTAGCAGTTTCTAGTGGTTGTTATCTATGAGGATGATGGACTTTTTCGCCTAGACGTTAACTGCAGTGGCCTTTCTCTTCTGAGCCAGGATGTTATAGTGGTCATACATCCCTTGGCAGATGGGGTGGCCTGACTTTGAGATGGGCGTCTGGAGGCCCCTGGATGCTAGGCTAGGGATGCTGAGCTGCTATTGATCAGGAAGTGATCAGATACTTCCTGGCAACACTGGAAGGGACCCATGAGGATAGAATCTCCTGTTTGAAGATACAGGAACCATGTAAGGTGATACTGCCAGAATCAGGAGCAAGGCTGTTCTGTCTCCTGACCAGCAGGCCAGACTCAGGGGACCAGATCTTCCTGGGCTTGGCCTCAACATTCCCTAGCAACATCCTCTGCTGAGTGTGTGAAAATGCTGCTTCTCCAAATGAACGAGGACAGTGGGGACCAAAGCCTTTCTTGGACAGGATTTTCAGCCTCCCCTGGCTTGTCCCAATGAGATGTGTATAGGATAGTAGGTTAGAAAGAGCACAGACCCGCAATTCTCATTTAAATTGTTTATTCTCATAGAATTTTGTTTTTCTTTGTTAGGACCAAAAATGTGTTTCTCACTAGAAAATGCCAACTTTTATCAGTCATCAGTGGCCTGTGAGTTCATGGACTTGGAAGATTGTCCCTAACATGTTCACAGAGTACACACTTGTAGTCTGAGGGGCCTTCCTCCTCCTCATCAGGGGGCTCATTTGGAGACATGACTGAAATGGCAACCGACAGAATAGAGTAACGGGTATTGTACAAAGACATTACACAATCATAGTCTGGGTAAACCAAGGTACTAGGCACTTCCCCTGTGCTTTCCATCCCTGTGCACTTCCCCTGTGCAGTAGTCAAAGACGCAAATGTGACATCCTCATAGGTGCCCTCCCCACTTGGGTCATTTGGCTCCTGTGGGGGCCCACTTCCCAGGGAATGCCCAGTGATACTGTTCATGGAACACATACCAGGGGACATGAAGGACTGGGTGTCACTGGGTCCCTGAATATTGTTGGCTTCTTTCATGGCATTATTGTGATGAAATCGGGGGGAGTGTCTTATAGGTACCAGCTTCTTTCTCTTTGGAGCTGGGACACGGGTTGCTTGCTGAGCGGTGTTTCTGAGGTCATCTTTAATCTGGATATTCTCAAGTAGCCTGGGCGTGTCTCTCTGAAAATTGGAGTTGTGGTAGATCTGAAACAAAATGAAACATTTTAGTAATTCTGGGATAAATTGTTTATTCCTTTCATCCCCCCCTCCCAAAATGATGGTCTTGTTTTACAATGGAGAAAAGAATGTTTTAAGTGGCAGCAAGTGTGGTTATGCTCTACAGCATGACCTGACTAAAGATAAACAATTCATAGGTCAAGGCAGTAATATATAAATAGCATGGGTTTTGATATTAAACTGCAACCCCCTTAGAGGTAATATGTAGGTCCGCATAATATGATGCTTACATTATCTCTAAGGGGGTTGTAGTTTAATATCAAAATCCATACTTTTTAAGTTCTATACTTTTCATCTTTCAATAAACAATATTTCACATTTTAAAATGCTATCTTTGACACTTAAGCTCTTACAGTATATTCTTTATATTAGTGTCTTATGAAGATATGTTTGAGAAAGAGAGAAAAGGGATTACAGAAATACTTTCTACTTTACCATCATTTTCTTTTTTCCTGGAGAGTTGCTTGGGCGTGTTTTGCAGAATCCATAGAGGTTCAGTTGGTGAATGAAACTCTTCAAGCTGTCTGTTTCGAAAATCCTCTCTGCACCTCTCCGTTGAAGAACGTCCCTCTGGAAGAGATCCTTCTCGATGATCATGGTGTCTGCATCATCGTTCCAGCTCACAGACTTGAATGTGTCTTCCTCCACCATCATCCAAAGCTTTCTTGGGAAGGAGAGCCTAAAAAGGTTGTGGTTGTCTTCCGTGTTGACCACGGATTGGTTTCAGTCTTCTGGTAGTGAGTTAACTTGGGAGCCTGGATCTTGGCTCACGGCGTGGTCCTTGTGTCTGTACAAAACTTCGCTGGAATCTGGATTTGGATCAGGTGAAGAACTAAATGGGTCCCCGCTTGTTGGCTCTCCACCAACAGACGAGGCCAGCTTGTCTTTATACTCCTGTTCGGTGTTCTGACTCGCCATGGAGCTACACCAGAATCAGGAGCATTTTGTACCCTAGACCCTTATCACTGTCCTAGTAAGTCCAAAATGCCTTCATTCAGAGTAGGCATGCCCAGTAAATACCGTCCACAAAATTCTAGAGTCTCAGTATTGGGGCAACCAGCGGCTTAACTCACCATCTGCCGTATTTGTCGCACGATGTCACAAAGGTAGCTCTCAGCCAATCTGGAGAGGGGACGCTGGCCAGGTGTTGGGGGAGTAGACAGGTGGCATGGCCTTCAGCTTCTCCTTTTTCTAAAAGTATAAACAGGCATGGTTCAAGTTCCCAGAAAAGTCTCCCATCTTCTGACAGTCACATTGTGTTACAGGGCCAGGCCCCAGATAAGCTGAGAAACCATGGCTCTGTGGCCACTCCCAACCCTGAAGACAGGGGAGGTCTGTTGCTGGTCTCTCTGATTTGCTCAAGGGCCAGCCTCCATTTAGCTCTAGCTTGGGTTTCCCCAAGACTGCCTGAGTCAGTCGGGCGTGGTGGCTCATGCCTGTAATCCCAGCACTTTGGGAGGCCAAGGTGGGCGGATCACGAAGTCAGGAGATCGAGACCATCCTGGCTAACACAGTGAAACCCTGTCTCTACTAAAAATACAAAAAAAGTTAGCTGGGCATGGTGGCGGGAGCCTGTAGTCCCAGCTAGTCGGGAGGCTGAGGCAGGAGAATAGTGTGAACCTGGGAGGCAGAGCTTGCAGTGAGCTGAGATTGCACCACTGCACTCCAGCCTGGGCGACAGAGCAAGACTCTGTCGCACAAGAAAAAAAAAAAGACTGCCTGAGTCAGACGGGTCCCTCACAGGTGACTGTGCCTTCCAGGAGATGGTGGTCCGTACTAGACTGTTTGGCCTATTCTGGGTTGGTAGCACCCCGTTTTCCAGCCCCCCCATCTCCTTCCTGCTTTGGTCTCTTCCAGCTACTCCTAATGGTTGGTGGGATGTGCTCCAATGGGCCCAGATGAAGTGTTCCTTATTCCACTTGGTCGAGTTGTTCCCAGAGTGGTGCTGTGCCTGAGCATGGTGGGAGCACTCCCCTCACTCCTCTACCACTATGTTACCCAGAGCACCATTTGTGGTTGGATGGCCACATCCTCAGCTGTGCTTTGGAGTCCTCTGTGGAGCTCTGCTTGCCCCTGCATCTCACCCTCTTGCAGATCACAACAGATTATCTTTAGTTTCTATTCTTGCCTATAAGTACTGTTCTCATTGCCCAAGACATACTCACTTCATGTAATCCAACACAAAACTGCCCATTATTGTATATTTGAAAATAGATGAGAGTCTGGGTGTGTGATGAGGGGATGATCAGGAGGACAGAGAAAACCCAAATGAAAGTCATCTTCAACCACAGATGAGAGGATACAACAGTCTTTTTGGTGATATATTTTCTCTAGCCATTGTAGCCAACTTTGTTCTTAATATTCACTCTGTATAAAGAGATAGAGTGATACAGTGGGAAGGCCCTAGGCTGAAAGGACCCTGGGTCCTCATTCCACTGAGTAGCACCCTTTGCCGTCTCTGAGGGTCACCACTGACCGCGAGCAGGGTTGGAAGAGGCTCTCCCAAGGTGCCTTTCAGTCTCAGGGTTCCCTAATCATTCATAGTGCCCCCACAGCTAACTCAGGCATGAGGACCAGTGGCTCCATGGAAAGTGGTCTCAGTCCTGACTCACTGCTGCTTCTGTGTAGCTGTTTAGTGATGGAGAACAGTGCTGAGCTCTCGACTATGGGGTCCTAAGGCCTGGAGCCAGCCATGGGGCAAGACTCACTGTGTAGGCCTTGCCTGCCACATATTCCTCCAGGGCCTCCCTCGTCCTCTCACTGGCTTCCCAGGAGCTTCTTCCTTACTGGTCTCTCTTCTGGGCTCTAGGATGTGTCCATACAGTTGTTTCATCCCATCTTGGAGGGGTCTTTCTAAACTGTGACTTGGAACTTGTCAGTTGCTTAGGCACCAACACCTCATACCTCCCAGGCCTTCCTTTCCCAGCCTTGTTAGCCACTGGGCTCCTCTTTCTTACACACTTAGACATCTGCCATGCCATCTGCCCTTAACCCTCCTTCACTCAGCATTTGCTTGGTGCTGGGTCCTGGGTAAAACAATTCTCAACCTCTGGTTCCCCCAGTGCTGTTTTCTGAGCACACTGTGAACATCCTTGCTGGTGTTGGTGCTTGTACTGCCCCTCCTACAGAAATGCCCTTCCACCCAGAAGCCACTCAGTGTGTTAGGGTCCAGGTCACTCCATGACGTCACCTGGCAAGACTTGTTCCCAGGGGCTGGCCCAGCACAGCTCTCCACCATTGGTTGGGTGGATCCCGAACTCCTGTGAGGTTGGGCATGTTGATAGGCTGTCTCCCCTCTGGACTAGGAGGTCCTTGAGTATGGCCACGACCATGGTGTGAATGTGACCTTCAATACATACAAGTTGGAATGAAGAAAGTTCTGTGTCATAAGTAGCTGAGTGGGGTTTAGCATCCTCGGGCATGACTCTGCATTAGAATAGTGATGATAGGACAGTTATTGTGAGCTCCTATGTCACGCTACTTTGCTAAGCACTCCGCTGGTCTGTGTCATTTACTGTACACAACCATCTCTCGGGTGAGTGTTAGGAATGAGCCCATCTCTCCAATGAGCCAACCTAGGCCATTGAGGGATTGAGCCATGGTGCAGGTTCCACAGTGAGGAAGCAACAGGGCCAGAATAGGCCCACGTGGTCAGACTGTCAGACTCACAATCTCACTCAAGTAGAATAAATGTTCTAGTTATCTGAGCAGAAAAGGTGGGCATCGTATGTAGAAAATTGTTGGAGAAAGCAGAAACAGAAAACAAAGAGCAGACTAGTCATTGATATGGTTTGGCTGTTTTGTCCCTCCAAATCTCATCTGAAATGTGACCTTCATTGTTGGAGGTGATCTTAGTGGGAAGTATTTGGGTCATGGGGGTATGGTTCTCATGAATGGCTTGGTGCTGTCCTCATGGTAATGAGTGACTTCTCACTCTGTAAGTTCACGTGAGATTTGGTTGTTTAAAAAAGCCTGACAGTTCCTTGTTCTCTCTCTTGCCATGTGATACACAGATTCCCCTTTTGCCTTCTCTCATGATTGGAAGCTTCCTGAGCCCTCACCAGAAGCAGATGCTGGCACCATGATTCTTGTACAGCCTGCAAAAATGGGAGCCAAAATAAATCTTTTCTTTATAAATTACCCAGACTCAGGTATTCCTTTATAGCAATGAAAAACTGACTAACATGTAAAACTGGTTCAGGAATTGTGTGTGGCTATAACAATATCTGACAATGTGGAAGCAGCTTTGGAACTGGGTAGTGGCAGGGGTTGGAAGAGTTTGGAGGTCTCTGTAGAAGACAGGAAGATGAAGGGATGTTTCAAACTTCTTAGAGACTTGTTAAGTAGTTTTGACCAAAATGATGATAGAAATATGGACAGTGAATGCCAGGGTGATAAGGTCTCAGATGGAAATGAGGAATTTATTGGGACTGGAGCAAAGTTCACCCTTGTTATACTTTAGCAAATAACTTGGCTGTGTTGTGTCCATGCCCTAGGGATCTGTGGAAGTTTGAACTTAAGAGTGATGGCTTAAGGTATCTGGTTGAAGAGATTTCTAAGCAGCAAAGCATTCAACATGTGGCATGGTTGCTTCTGACAGCATATTCTCAGATGTGGGAGCAAAGGGATGACTTACAGTTGGAATTTACAATTAAAAGGGAAGCAGAACATAAAAGTTTGGAAAATTTGCAACCTGGCCATGATGTAAGGAAGGAAAGAGCATTTTTGAGGATGAATACAAGTGGGCTGCTGAGGAACCACTTGCTAGAGAGATTTACATGACTGAAAGGGAGCCAAGTACTAATATCTTAACACAATGGGAAAAAACCCTTGAAGGCATTTCAGAAATCTTCTAGACAGCCTCTCCCATCATAGGCCCAGTGGGCTAGGGGGATTGAATGACTTGGGGAGGCCAAGCCTGGGACCCTGCTGCCCTACATAGTCTTAGGACACTGCTCCCCACATCCCTCCTGCTTCAGCTTCAGCCATGGCTTAAAGGGCCCAAGGCACAGCTCAGGCTACTGCCTTGGAGGGCACAAGCTGTAAGCCTTGGTGGCTTCCCCATGGTGTAAAGTCTGCAGGAGCACAGAATGTAAGAGCGAAAGAGGCTTGGCAGCCTCCACTAGATTTCAGAGGATATGTTCGAAGGCCTGGGTGCCCAGGTAGAAGCCTGGTGCAGGGACAGATCCCCTGCAGACAGACTTTTCTAGGATAGTGACCCAGGGAAATATGGGGTTGGAGCCCCTACATGGAGTCCCAACTGGGGCACTGCTGAGTAGAACTTTGAGAAGGGGGCTGATACTGGAAGAGCCACCAGCATCTTGTACCCTGAGACTGAAAAGGCCGTGGGCACTCAACTCTAACTCATGAGAGCAGCCATGGGGGCTGGCCCCAGCAAAGCCACAGGGGCAGAGATGACCAAGGCCTTGGCAGCCCACCCCTTGCACCAGTGTGCCCTGGATGCAGGACATGGAGTCAAAGGACATTATTTTGGAACTTTAAAATTTAATGATGACTGTGCTGGGATTCAGACTTACCTGGGGCCTGTTGCCCCTTTATTTTGGCTGATTTCTCCCTTTTGGAGTGGGAATATTTACCCAATGCCTGTATCACCATTGTATCCTGGAATTAAATAACTTGTTTTCGATCTTACAAGCTCATAGGCAGAAGGAAAATGCCTCAAGTCTCAGAAGAGATTTTGGAAGTTTCAGTAGATGCTGAAATGAGATGAGACTTTTGAGGAACTATTGGGATGGGATGATTGTGTTTTGCAGTGTGAAAAGGACAGGGGATTTGGAGGGCCAGGAGCAAAATAATACAGTTTGGATGTTGTGGCCCCTCCAAATCTCATGTTAAAATGTGACCTCCAATGTTGGAAGTGGGCCTGTTGGGAGGTGTTTGAGTCATGGGGGTGGGTC